TGTTTCATCGTTACTTTCAACTGCAGTATATGGTCAGGCAAGTTCAGCATTCACTGTGATGTATATAAAATATGACACTGATACTGTTTTCCTCAATGAACATTTATTGAACAGAACATCAAATGGAAAATCAGAGCTGGTCAACTTAAAAAAATATTGAATAAATAATAAACTCCTCGGAATCTTTCACAAGTCCTTCAGCCTTTGGTGCGCTTCCTCACTCATGTTCTTGGCGAGGTCATGAGAACAAAGTTCCATCTTACTGATAAGACAAGATGGTATAAAGAAGTCATATGTAATATTATAAAATCACATGCATCAGGGGTTGTACACTTTAATGTGTCCATTCACTAACCGACTCTTTAGGAAGGAAGCTGTAAGGCCTCTTGTTATAGGAGTGGTCCTCATCAGTGTCCAGGGGCATCAGACAGTCAACCATTATTTTGACAGTGCTTTACATGCACGGTTTAACTCCTCCAAAAATGATCCAGGCTCGATTCAGAATGACACAGTACCACACAAAACAAATGTTGCATGTACCATAAGTTCTATGTAGTATGTGTTTTAGGAGTAGTAACCCATTCTGAAACAGGCACACAGGATCATAGATACGTTGAGCGATACAATGACCATGGTGCTGCTTGCATGCGTCCTTTTACGACTGATCCTGAATGTACGTGGGACATTGTCGCTAAGGGTCGCCCTGCCTTCCTCACTATAGTGAGCAAACCTCTTTCCATACCTGCAATTAAGACACATTTTCTTCACCAGAAGGTTGAATTTTAGAGCCAGGTGTTCCCCCCAAATCTTCTTGATAATACAATTACAAATTCAAATGTTTTTGTAGCACTGCAGCATACCCTTCCAGTCCAAAGTTTTCCACCAGGATAACACACCACCACCTTCTCAGGAGAGACATGTCATGCTAAAGAAAGAGCATACATTTTCATTAAGTTTGTTATAGCATTTTAATGTGACTTCTTTCCTTAATACTTACAATGCTGAAGTCAAAGCTGGCCTCCATGGCAAAATACCAGGCATACTGTAATGAGAATTTTATTAGCACATGCAAGACATAATGTACACGTGACGGCTGGGTGTGACCCGGTCCTTTCACAAATGGACACTGGAAGGTGTCCGAGTCCAATTTGTTGAGCTTGAGTGTTGTGTTGTTTGTCTATAGGTGAATAAAATAGAATACAATTTAAGTGACTTTAATATTGGAAATAGTTAACTCCTTAAACAAGCAGCAATGGACTGGCCTGTATAATCCTATGGGACAAAGCTGGTCATACTTCCTCACTTTCAGAAGGTAACCCTTTAATGCACAAAACAACCTCTAGATTTCACTTTGGTTCGAACAGAAAGCCCTTCAGCTAGTTTAAATGTCAGGCCTACAGCATAAACCCCATCTAAAAACAGAGGCTCTGTCCTAATTACCTGATTGCATCCACCTGGGTTACTTGGCTCTACCCAATAACTACCATTTAACTTTAAACCACACTTAAAATAATAATTATACATATTTACATGTCTACAGTATAGGAGCTAATACATGTTTTAAATAAAAAACATTCAAATGTGAAAGACACCTTCAATTAATATTTAAAACTTACATAAAATCAGATTCTTGTAAAAATTAGAGTACATGCATGTTCAGTTAGCATATATGCTAAGTTAACTGAACGTCGAGCATGTCAAGCTAATATATATATATATATATATATACAGTGGCGGCGGATCATTAGGGGCAGGTGGGGCACAGCCCCACCTAGTGTCAGAAGAAAGTATTACAAATAATGATTACAAAAAAATACTAAAAAATAAATAAAAAAACATATAAAATATATTTTAAGGTCATGTTTAATAATCTGATTCGTCTGTACATTTCTGTTTTAGTCTGTGTTCTTTTAATTAGTGTCTAGAGTGCCGTTTTGGGCTGTTTAGAGCCATGTGGGACAAAACCCGATCCTGCCCCTCCCTCTCACAGTCTAAGTGAACGGTGATTGTAAAAACTACACTGCGCATGCTCAGAGTATTTTTCTATTTAATGTGTGTGGCAAAAAAATAATGACCGTAGGGGCATAGTGCTCCCATCCCCACCATACGTCATCTCACATAATTCAGAATTGATTGGCTGTAAGTACTCACGTGTGCAGTGCTGCGAAACGTCACGTGTAGTTTGAAGAGGAGACGAGAGAGCAGCATATAGCTAACATCACCAGCGATTAAAAGAAGTAAAAAACTGAAAGAAAATGAATGAAGTTGACCATTTACTGGAGCACACATTTGAGACACTTAGTCTCGGAGAGAAACTGGAGGTAAAGCGCCTCGGTGCCCACCATCCACCGGATTTCCAAATGGTCCAGACTGCGGGCAAAGTTAAACGTGGGTTTAACGCTGAGTGGTTTGCTAAAAAGAAATGGCTAACGGCGAGCATCCAGAAGAATTCCCTCTTTTGCTTTCCTTGCCTGCTTTTTGGTGAAGATCAAGGTACTTGGTCGAGGACAGGTTACAAGGACTTAAAGCATCTTTCGGAGAGGACAATGAAGCATGAGAGCAGCAACAGTCATTTGGAAAATGCCGTAAAATTGGGATTACTTGGAAGGGTGAATGTTGCAGCTCAGATTGACAGCGCCTACAGACGCGGCATTGATTCTCATAATAGGAAGGTGGAAGAAAACAGGTACGTGCTTGGTCGGATCATCACCTGTATTAAACTGTGTGGGAAATGTGAGACAGCACTGCGGGGCCACAACGAGTCGGCGGACTCTCTGAATCCAGGGATATTCAGGTCAATTTTCGAGACAATGTGTGAGGGCGATTCCAGGCTTCAACGGCACTACGAAGCTCAGCTTGTTTTCAAAGGGACATCAAGCACCATACAGAATGAACTCTTGGACTGCATGTATGATGTGTACAGGGAGGAAATAGCCAAGCAAGTGGACAACACATCATTTGTTGCCGTTCAGGCCGACGAGACAACCGATGTCTCCTGTAAATCGCAAATGGTGATTGTGCTGCGATACATTATGCCTGACCTCACAGTTACAGAGCGTTTTTTGGAGTTTGTGGAAGTAAAGGACAAAACTGGTGTAGGTCTCTCTAACAGCATCAAGGCTGTTCTGGAACCCCTGAAGCTGAAAGAAAAGCTAATCGCTCAGACCTATGACGGGGCGGCCGTCATGAGCGGTAACGTGCGCGGGGTACAGACGGTGATGAAGGAGACGTACCCAAACGCTCAGTTTGTTCACTGCTACGCCCACCAACTGAACCTGACCCTGCAGTAACTGTGTTCAGCAAGGATGAGCATCCTGAACGTGTTTTTTGCAGATCTAACTGCTTTTTCCACTTTGTTCTCCGGTGCTCCAAAACGTGTTGCAGCTCTTGCAGAGGCAACACAGAGACGCATCCCACGGCCACCGGCTGTGAGATGGAACTTTAAAAGCAGAACTGTGAACGCGGTTTGGGAGACCCGAGAAGCACTTCTTCAGTGTATGAAGCATATACGCGCACAACCAGGATGGGATGCGGTCACCATAAGTGAGGCATACGGCCTGTCAAAGAAACTGCGGGACCGAGCATTTATGCAGCTCCTGGAGTTTTTTTCGTTGCTTATGCCAGAAGTGGATGTTCTATACAACTTTCTGCAAAAACGAAGCATCGATGCACCTGGGATCAACAGCGCGCTCTGCCGTTTCAAGGAAAATGTTCAGAAAATGAGGCAGAAAACTGATGCATTGGCCGCCACTGCTCATGATGGAACAGACGAGCCAGGCCGACGAGTCAGCAGCACAGCGCCGGTGATGAAGGAGGCTTGTGACACAGTCATCTCACAGGTGGAACAGAGGTTCTCACAAAGTGACCATTTGATCGCTGCAAAGCTTGTTGACAGCTTATTCTTCCCACAGCATGTCCTGTCATTTCCTACACCTGAGCTTGACTGCGCCGTGAAACTGGCCTGCGTTGGGAAACAAGGAGAAGTTGAAGTCTGAGCTGACCACGCTCTACCGCCACAGTGAGCTTCACACTGGAAACACTGCCCTGTCTCTGTTGAAATCCATTCACGAGAACAACTTGGAGGAAACGTTTGCTGAGACTGTTATTTTGGTCAAAATAATAGTGACAACTCCGATGACGACATCCGAGTCAGAGAGGAACTTTTCCACCCTCAAAAGGATAAAGACTTTCACTCGCAACACCATGGGACAGCCGCGACTTAACGCATTGGCCATGCTTTCAATTGAAAGCCAGTTGATCCAGCAACTACAGGACTTCACCCCCAAAGTGATAGACACATTCTGTCAGAGGAAGGACCGCCGTGCCGCTTTTCTTTTCAAGTGAGCCTTCAGCTTTGGTAAGTTCATTTATGTCATATATTTTGTTGATCTTCTGTGTTTTGCCTCTGCTGGATCGATTGATATTGTGACCTCGATGATGAGTGTCTGTGTTTTCCTTATATTTAAAGTCTATGGTGTTTAATGCTAAAGCATTACGGTTGTTGTTATTGTTAAGAATTACTTTGTGATGGTGACCTTTACTCCATGTATGAAGGTGCATTACTATGACATCCCCACGCTGTGTACGTAAATGTATGCGCTCACAGTGTTGCTCCTGTGGTCTTCAGTATGTAATTTGACACTCCCCCTCTCTCTCTCCTCCCCCCCCTCTCTCTGTCCCCCCTCTCTCTCTCTCCTCCCTCTCTCTGTCCCCCCCCCTCTCTCTCTCTCTCTCTCCCCCGACCTCTTTCTGCCCCCCCAGTTTTGTACACCTAGAAACGCCACTGTATATATATATATATATATATATAGCAAAATAAATACAATTACACTGCGCTAAACAGCCACATCGACAAACAAACGATAACCTAAATAGTATGTAATTATATCTAAAACCACAATACGTTAAGTACCTGTACTCGGTGCGCCATGTTGTCTGTAAACCTCACGTGTTGGGCGTGCTCTCTTCTGACCATATTTGGAAGTACAACTTTTCGCGGCCGCAGCTAGACCCTTCTCAGCCACCGTAGTGTCGTGTACCATCGTGTACCATCGTGTACTGGCCGCGGCCGCAGCTAGACCCTTCTCATTTACTCGGAGAACGCGATCCAGAAGCTTCTACTGAAGGCAGTTTCCAACTTCAAAATGTACGACCATTGTTCAGCAAAGTTAGCCGACCTGGGAACCGTCCACAGCGCAAAGTCATGCCGGGATGACGACAAAGGTAACATAAACTACATGCACTGCACTGTTTTAATCTGCACAATACTGGTCTCAGATGTACTTTAATTTGCTCAGTAGATCGAGCTAGTCATGCTAGCTGAACTGGCTAACACTGTTAGCAGGCCGGCTCCAAGCTGGCTAACAACAGCTAGCTAGCTATTCTCGGCCGCTCTGAAAACGTTTTGACTTGTGAATAAGTGTGCAATGTTCTGTAATTTGCTTCACTAACTCATGGCACTAATCGTGTGTTTCAGGCGAGGTGTTTCTCTCTGGATTGGAAACTAGTGAGCTTTCCCCTCCGGGATAAAACGAGCTATAACGTTAGCAATTAGCATGCTAGCTGCCGGACATAATGCTACCTCTGTGGCTACACTGAATGAATAGAGAGGTAAACAATAACTTACATTGTAGTTGCTATAATTTCATGTGTCATTTGCAACATTCATTCTACATGTTAATGGTAAAAGCTTAAACAGTTGATTACCTGCATGCCACAAAGACTGATGTTCTAATGTTTTGCACATTTAAGTAAAAATGTAATTTGAAATTCAATTTATTTTTCCTTTTTTTATTGATTGTTATAATTTTACTCAGCCATGTTATGTTAGATGTCAATCCACTTACGGAGCGTCCACACTACAGCTTAAAAAAAAAGCTTGGAGCTGGGCGTGTCTGAAGCTTGGGGATTTTATTCGAGCAACGCGACCAACAACCAATCACATGAATCTCCCGCCCCCGACATACAAAGCAAAAAACCCCGGGGATTTTATGCAAGCAATATATATATATATATAAACAGGCGAAAACCTACCAGTTTCACCCACTGTCTCTGCCACCTCCCTCCATGACTGGTTCTTCCGGTTTGTATCCCGGTAGGTGAAGAGGGTCTGGTCATACAAAACCGGGTGATTTGCTACGGCGATAATTAGTTTCTCCTCCATCTTTTTTTTAAATATAGAAATGAACGGCGGGATATCGCTCCCAGTTTAGACGCGGTTTGATTGGCTAGGGCTTGAGCTGTCAGATTTTCAGAAACGGGATTTGATTGGCTGACGCTGGCTACGCCGGAGACGGACCGCTATGCTACCCACAATTCAGTTCGGCGAAAAGGGAGGCAACGTGACGTCACCCCATTCAAAGTGAATGGGCAGACGCATTGGAAACCGTTTTTGAAGCTGTAGTGTGGACAGGCCGTTAGACTGCAACTACTCTGGCCTTGAAAGAAGGTTACACATCGAACTGATGTCCACTAATCCAGTGGTTCTCAACTGGTGGGTTCGAGACCAAGCGGCAAACTCTGGGGAAGAGCCGGGACGCCAATACGGAAGTGCCACACACTGCAGTTCATCTAGTGGCCAGTAGGAGCAGACTGCAGAAGGGAGCAATTTCCATAGACCCCCATGTTAAAATGCCCAACTTTACAGCAGAAATAAACATGTTTACATCGTGGTTCAAAAAGCCATATTCTATGTATAGTTAGATTCCCCCTTCATGACTATGTGGGGGGTGCATTTTTTCTCAACTCATCTGTTTAATTAATATTAAGCCTTAAAGCTTTTGCATAAATTAGGGCGTGGTCACTTTGATGGACATGTACATGCCTCACTGTCCAACACACTCTCACTCCCTAAGCGTCCAGGAGCGACGTTTGGTCAGTGTCCGTGGCGTCCAGTTGTGACGCTCCTAGGCTCCTTCAGCGTCATAAAGGGACGCAAATAGCTTTCAACTGATTGCAATGTATTCCCATTTTTGACGCTCATGGAAGCACGGCATTCGTTTGTGTCGGCTGCCCTTAAAGGCAATGTGAGCGTCCATTCCCATTGGATAACGGAGAATTGTACACCCGGAAGTAAGTATTCCTCTTACTGTCGATTGATTTTACAGTGATATCTGCACTACTCATCGACTAAAAAACACCAGATTATCAACATTGATTGGTTTAAATTGTGTGCAATGCTTTTGTATTTTTCCCCTTCGATTCGGAGAAACGAATATTTTTTCGGAGTAAAGGATGGCAGAAGACACTACACTACCCAGAATCCCCAGCTATCGTTTGGACAACACCATGTGCTCTGTTTGACAAACCCCATTTTTTTTCACCATTCATTCCAATGGCTGGCGTCTATGTCACATGATCTTCAAATTTCTCCCTGCAGAAAAAGATAACATGGCCAAACTTCGTTTTATTCTCGGTGGAAAATGCCTATTTTAATGTTAGTTTGGCCATTAAAATGCGTTTTGATGTCATTTGATGCGAGAAATATGAGTTGTTATTTCAGATTATGTGTGCAGTGGATGTACATGATCTTTAGTTTGCTATTTATTACGAAGATTACTTCAGGAAATCGCGACGTTTTCATTGTTACCAAGGTGGTTGCTAGGGACGCTGCTATCGATATTATTTCTGTTATGTTGTGTAACTGTTTAATGGTGTTATCTTTATTGCTACCCCCTTCCCCGTCAATGTATAGTGTTGGTCCACAGCGCAAACATATTAGTTTAACAAAATCCGCATCTAAAGATAGCCTATGTTATTTTCCCCTGTGCAATTCCAGTCTCACATCTCACAGCATATCGTCATTAACAAATACCGGAAACAGACCGAAAACATTTAAAAAAAAAAAAAATAATAATACTTTATTCCGAGTGTGCTTGCTTTTCTCTTTGAAAGTCATCACATAACGGCATTGTAATACACGGTTCGGCTGCATTAAATATGACATATCTGCCGTAGTTCTGTATTTATAGAGCCCTGATGAGAAGACTTCTAGACAAACATGAGGAACTGAAAACGTGACGTGGATCATAAATATATCAGCCATTAAACAACTTACATTTATTTTCACACAATACGTCTCCTTGCAGTATCAACACTAATTCGGCTGACTTTTATATTTGATCCAATTGGTAGATAGGCTGTATTTACACCATAAAGGTGCACAGCTGATATAAAGGGACACCTAGTGGTTAAAGCATGTTATTGAATTTCATTATTTTTTATTATTAGATATTAATAGGATCCCTATAAAGTATATTCATTACTCGTTATTCTCTACTAATAGTTAATTAAAGACTGTATATAATGACTATTTTGCACATCCCTTTCAAGATTTTCTATGGTGTAGTTCTGCATTGTGTAGTTCTGCATTGAATGAAAAACTTGGGTCGCAGGTTCCTTAATAGTGCATTACAAGACATCTATCAATATTTGTGCATACCTCCAGCAATGTTAACTAGGTTGAAGCACTTATTTTAACTGATATTATACATAATGTATTATACTCTTATAAGATGTATGTAGATATTTCATCTCCGGCCTTGTCAGGTATTGAACAATCAATAAATAAAGAACACAGAATTGTTAAATATAAAACACAGAATGTATGTGATTATACTAAATGATTTACAAATAAACACCACTGCATATTTACAACTGTTACACATGCTGATGTAACGCAAATGTTCCAACTTGGGATCAATAAAGTATATCTTATCTTAAGCTGATCGATGGCTACTGCCATATTTGCAAAATTTGCCTCTGAACCTTGACAAGTGCATGTTTCAGGCTTATCAATTAATGTAATGTAATTATCAATTAACAACAGGGGTCACAAACATAAGACCAGCTGTTAAATAAAGCTCTTCTGACCTTAGCTGGCATGTGTGTATATATATTAATGCTGCCCATTATGGGCACAAGCAATTTTCACCCATTTATTAATTATGTTTTAAATTTGAGTGTTTCCTATCCCCTAAACCTCCAGGGATGTACACTGTTTAATACTGGCAACTTCTTATTATGGGAAATACGAAAACGTCTTTTAAAACTACAACTCCCAGTAGAGACGTGCCATAGATAGAGAACATGTTGCGAAACAGAATAGCCAGCATGTGTAGTTCTGCAGACGGGGTGGGGGAGGGGGGGACACGGTGGACCTGTTCAAATCCAGTTTTGGACAGTCTGCCGTGGTTCCATCCCATTTCAAGTGCTGTTCGAGAATCGGCGTAACCCTCGGAGCACACTCTCCAATCACAGAGCTTGAGGACTATCACGGGATTTGTCAAACAGAGCACATGGTGTAGTCCAAACGATAGCTGGGGATTCTGGGTAGTGTAGTGTCTTCTGCCATCCTTTACTCAGAAAAAATATTTGTTTCTCCGAATCGAAGGGGAAAAATACAAAAGCATTGCACACAATTGAAACCAATCAATGTTGTGTAATTAACAAGGATAATCTGGTGTTTTTTAGTCGATGAGTAGTGCAGATATCATTGTAAAATCAATCGACAGTAAGAGGAATACTTACTTCCGGGTGTACAATTAACCATTATCCAATGGGAATGGGACACAAACGAATGCCGTGCTTCCATGAGCGTCAAATCCCGCCGCAGATGGGAATACATTGCAATCAGTTGAAAGCTATTTGTGTCCCTTTATGACGCTGAAGGAGCCTAGGAGCGTCACAACTGGACGCCACGGACACTGACCAAACGTCGCTCCTGGACGCTTAGGGAGTGAGAGTGTGTTGCACTGTCAGCTAACAGCAACTTGTCCACTCTGCTAGTCTACAACCATAGAGGCTACAACGTTAGTTAGTTGTAGTTACTGTACTTGACCCTTTAGCCGTGTTCGTGGTGATTGTGCCTTTTAGGGAATATTGTTACAAATACCAGACAATTAAAATGTTGTGCTGTGCGCTTGAATGTACTACAGAACTTCCAAGAAGTCTAAAATTATAATATATACAAGTTAACCCCGTTCGCAGGTGTTTGTGTGCTTGGTAGCTTAGCTTGCTACTTATTAGCCAGCTAAGGACGTAACCCTTTATACATACATATACATTTTAGTTTATGATTCAGCCTTGGGTAAGACTTTTATAGTCTATGGCTATGGCGCCCATAATGCTAAACGGGAGCAAATGTTAATAGGGGACCCAATTATCCCAGTGGTGGCCGCCGGAGCTAACGGAGCCGCAGGGGGCTAACTCCAGCCGGCGTCCCGGAGCTAGCCCACTGCGGCTCCGTTAGGTCCGGGCGGTGGAGTCCGTCTTTTCTCAACGTGTGAATGACAAGCATTAAGAATAACAAAATATAGCTAATTCTCTTGCAGATTGTTTCATTTGATTATGAATGTAAGGTTTATATAGAGGAACAGGAACTACACTGTTAGCAGTAACTTGGTATGCAGGTATTTCATGTTAGCTTAGCTTCTTAGCCTGAGCTAGCTCTGTTTACTTCCAGGTCGGAGGCAGCAGGTCCCGCCTCTTTGCCCTTATTTGGAGCAGGCGGGATTAGACTATGACGTCACAGTCGAGCCGTTAGTGGCCGACTCCGCCTACTAAGGGCTTCACGGCAACTCTGCAGAATCCTATGGGTGACGTCACGGACACTACGTCCATTTATATATACAGTCTATGGTCGAGACCCAAAAGTGGGTCGCGGACCCGTTTCGAGTGGTTCGCGGATGTGTGAGTGAAGAAAAAAAAAAAAATTAGAATTTTTTTTTTTTGGAGGAAAAAGTCAAACTTTTATTTTGAAGGCCCGATTTTCTAACGCTGTGCATGCAGTCGGCGTTGGACTGGAAGTACCGGAAACCATAAACGGTTTTGAAAACTTCTGTCACGTAGTGATCATCTTCTCAATAAAATATCTTTGCTGATGTTTTTTCGAGTCTTCTGGCCAATCAGAATCAGGATTGTTGCCGGAAGTCCCCACAGAGAAGCTAGTAATAGATTAATTTATTTTCTCCTCAGAGTGTACCAGAATGCATATTTTATGTTAGTATTTCTAAAAATCTCCTGGGGGAGAATCCCCCCAGACCCCCCTGCTGGGGTTGGGTTTTCAGCATGCGTGCCTTTTTATATAGTTCAGCTTTGATTCCATCATCTCATTAAACCTTTTTTAAAAACATACTTTAGTTCTGTGAAGGGATATAAGGGATATATGCACTGTACTTCACTTTTGTTAATATTGTATGCTGAAAAGCGTATATATTACAGCACGATATTTTGTTGAATAGATTTGAGTGCTTCAAAATGTTGGGTCGCGATGTATTGACCAAGTAAAAAGTGGGTCCCGAGGCCTGACCAGTTGAGAACCAATGCACTAATCCCTATAAAACAAAGTTCAAGCATACATTAAGCACAAAACAATAAATAAGAGCACTTTGAGCGTTAGCTATTTGATCCTATCTTATCTTCTAATTTACACCTGCATTTTGTACACTGTCCCTGCCTGCACCATGTCCAATGCTGTCTCTGTTGACAACCTACTAGGCGATTAAACTGATCTTGTATATTGCTTATTTCTCCTCTTAGGAAAGCAGGCACGGGATGACAGCTTCCTTGACACCATCATGGCGATGTAGGACCGCCGTGCCATGGTCAGCAAGGAGAATGAGGACCTGCGTGCCAAGGAGATGCACGACGAACGGCTGCTGCATTCACACAAGGCCCAGGAATCGGACGACCAGCTGCTCATGGTGATGCCTTGCCATGCTGACTCGGCGGCGTGCCAGGTGGAGGTGGAGGTGTCGGCGCGCCAGGTGGAGCAACAAAATACCTTTCAGGCTGGGCTTCTGGCAGTGCTAAGCGAGCTGATTAAATCCAACAGGCCTTCAATTAAAAAATAAAATAAAAACTTGTCGTTGTTGATAAGCGTGTGGTTGAGTGCGTTGGTGTTCGGATCAGGGGAGCACAGGTTCAAACCCCACTGCGGTCAGCATGTCGTTGTGTCCCTGGGCAAGACACTTCTCCCCAAATTGCCTACACCTGGGACAGTTAATTTTGTATTATTGTGATTATATATATATATATATGCCACTGTTATTAATACTGACACTTCACTTTGCACTAAGGTGTGTCTGCTGCTGAGCTTACCTATTATTGTAATTATATATATATATATTAGTGCTGTCAAAATTATCGCGTTAACGGCGGTAATTAATTTTTTGAATTAATTGCGTTAAAATATTTAACGCATTTAACGCATGTACAGAATGGCCCGCCCCATACGTGCCACCAGTGGCAGCGCCAGGGTATGGCTGGGGTAGGCTACACCCATACCAAGAAATGGCTTAGCCCCACCATGAAAAATGATGTTAAAGGAAGCAAAATAAAGTCTGCCAACTCGCGCGGAGTAAATTGCACAGACAGCCGTTAGTAAGATTGATTTCAGTAGCCACGGTTTTAAAACTTTTGTCACGTAGTGATCGTCTTCTCAATAGAACATCTTTGATAACGGCGTGGTGTTGTTGCAGGAAGTCCCGACGGAGAATACTTTTGCTGTAGTACAGGGGTGCACATAACTGGTACGCAGGTTATGTGCGTAATCTCTCTGAAATGCGTACCGTCACTTGTGTCACAAAGCGCATTTGCGTACCGACGTACTTGTGAAGCTTTTCCAGAAGGCGGTTAGATCACCGGACGACAGTTGGTCTCCGTGTGCACAGACAGGGCTGCTGTTAACGTCGGTCTGTACAACGGAATTGTGCCAAAATTACGCCAACGGGCTACGGAGGGAGACCCCCCCCCCCTTCACTGGAGCACTGCGCTAAAACAGCTGATCACAACGTTCACACTCTGTGGTCACGAAGTACTCCACTAGCCGCGCCCCCCCCCCCCCCCCCCCCCCCCCCCCCCCCCCCCCCCCGACTTTCCTGAAGTACTCCCCCGTTGATAGAAATCAACACGTAATGAATTAAGACCCCACGGTTTGATGATTGATAGGTGTGTGGGTTGTCTTTCATTTTGACATGCAGAAAAATGTTATAATAAACATAGATACTGTATGTATGGATATATGGATATATATATATATATATATCCGCCTTCTTTCATTTATCTTTCCATTCCCACAACAATATGCATAAATAAATGGCATATTTTGGACATAGTTCGAATGGTGATTAATCATGATTAATTAATTTTTAAGCTGTGATTAATCTGATTAAAAATTGTAATCGTTTGACAGCCCTAATATATATATATATATTGCCAGTCTTATTATATTGTTTTGATACTACTGACACTTTCTTTTATATTGAAAATGTTAACTTCTATTTACATTAAAACTTTTAACTTGTATTTACATGCATACGACACACCTGGGACAGCGTGATGCCGTTATTGATATTGTCTTGAGTGTGCAATAAAAGAGAACCTACATGGCAATTAAACAGATCCTGTATCTTGCTTATTTCTCCTCTGACACTTTATCTTTACAGTGACCTGTGTGGCATCCTTTACATCACATGTAAGTGATTATTCTGATACCACCATGTTTCATCGGTTATAAACTGGCGAAGCTTTATTTGTGTCCCACCCCAAATATGTGGCTTTGAAAAAGATAATTTCATTGTATTTCAAAATGGCGTCCATCAACACAAGCACTATTTATAGAAAGCGAAAAGGCTAAGTTTATAATTACCAGTTATGTGAGTTCAATATTTTTAATTAATTATAGTATGGGAACATCTTAGGAGTTAGTGTAGTGAGTTTCAGAGCAGTGTAATAATTATTTGACCTAAAACTAAATGTTTTTATCAATGTCCTCTGAGGAGGACATGGGGATTTGCTAACTTTTTATTTCCCCCATTTTACACGACACAAATGGAGGCCACTATGGGCCAAAACTAACACGTAGGTTTCTGTAGGGTTCATGGCAGACGGATGCAGTTGCTCTCAGGAGTTTATATAATAAAGGTGTGTTAACTGCTGAGCCTATAGAGAACCGCAGTGACGCGTCGTAAAACCCGGAAGTAAACTTCTTCCGGTTCCTTCGTGAAAAACCATAGACTGTATATATAAATGGACGTAGGGTCCGTGACGTCACCCATAGGATTCTGCAGAATTGCCGTGAAGCCCTTAGTAGGCGGAGTCGGCCACTAACGGCTCAACAGTGACGTCAGAGTTCAACTCCCGCCTTCTCCAAATAAGGGCAAAGAGGCGGAGCCGAGGCGGGACCTCCTGCCACCGAGCTGGAAGTTCCAGAGCTAGCTGAAGCTACCAAGCTAAGCTAACATGCTCCCCATCTGCACTCTGCCGTCGCATTTTACGTTTCTAAGGTAAGCGGACATGAAACTATTCAGCAAAACTATCAATAATAATCTAAGTTATTGAGTTTTTAGCATATTTCAGAATCTTAAAACCCCTTAACGTTTGTATGCAATTGTGCTAAATTCAACACTGGAATCAAGCAAATATGAATATGTTTGCATGACATTAGTTATTTATATTTTGATATCACTTAACTATACGTTTAATACATTTAAGTCAAGCTAAGGTACATGTGATGGTAGCTAGTTAGTGCTCTTACCTTTGAGGCCTCCTCCAAACAGCATAATAACCAGACTGTATCATTAAAACTAAGTACCAGTTCTAGATCCTTGACTTTAGACAAACAATTCAAAAGACAACATGTATTTAAAGACCAATCTTTATTTGAATGTGCCTCTTAACCTGAGATATTAGTTATACAGTAATAGTATTGACAATCTAAAAAAACTAAGCAACTCAACAGTCAACTTTATGTTTCTTATTGTCTAAAGCATTTATTATTTTCATTTTCCCCCTCATATTCAGTGTGGACGGATTGAGACAGCGTGGTGTCCAGAGAGCTGCAGAGACTTCAGGGAGAAACCTCTGTGTGATGGACGTCCTGTTGGTTTGGAGAGGACTGAGGGTCTTTCCTCTGCGAGGAGGACCAGGCCAGATGGAGGAGCCCATGCTGGGCAAAGCTGATACCAACTGCACAGGCCTAGTTTGTCACTTTATTTGACTAATGTGTTTACTTATACATTTAATAGGTTTACACCTTCTGTCCATATGTGCTTTTTATTTAAAACATTTGATTAACTTTTGGTTCACATTTCAATAAATTGTATTTGCACTCCTTTCGTCCATTATTCTTACTGAAAATGTTAGATTACACATTCACATCTGACTGAAGATTGGCCCCATTTATTTGTGACGTTGCAAACTCTGCGGTACAAGGCACAAGTGATGTGAAGCTCATAAAGTGAGGCAAATAGAAATAATCAGCGGATGGAGTGTAGATGTGGAAATAGCTGCATTCGATCAGCTGACTGTTTTTACAATAAAAGTAGTTTCTTAGTGAATGCCCTGTACTGGTCTTAAAATCTCATAACATCAGCTTTTAATGTTCCTCTTGGATGTTCTTCTTGACCCTCAGAGAAGGAGAAGATGTCGTGTCTTTCAGGCATGTCCTTTCCTAACAAAAATGACAGGAAACATAAAACATATTATTGCAGAACAAGTGTGTTATTTATGAAAGCGGTGTGTTTGTGTGTTTAGGGGCTGTAGATATAATTATTTTGTAATTGTAATCAGATTATGAATGAACAGTATGAAGTTCATCAACATTGAAATATATGTTATTATCAAAATAATATTGAACTGTTATCAAAACGTAGTGCAACTGTAGAAGCTTGCTCTGTTGTCTCACTGAAAGAATAACTTTTACCACGTTTTTTACAGACAATATTGAGAGATAAATAGTAGCAGTTCTCACTATGTGTTAAATATCTTTGCCTTCAATACATTAAATTAGAAAGCTGACAAAGTCATATTGCTAAATATCTAAATGTAACTTTTTGCATGGAAAAAACCCTCAACTTAACTGATGTGTAGGTGATCTAGTATTTAGTATTGTTTAATGGAATGTATATCAGTGTATTCAAGTCAATACTTCATTCATTTAAACCAATATATTTCTTGATTCTTTGTACAGTATGAAAAAAGAGTCTTTGTACCTGAGCTGAAGTTCACTGCTGTGAGGAGTCCAGTTCTGTCTCTCACTCTCTGGTCCAGCCTGTCTGCATCACCTGGACACCTTAAACAAACAGATATATATATAGTAAAGTACCATGTGTACAAACAATATAACTGATTCTCTTCTGTTGAACATGTTGGATTGTGTATTGTCCGAGTCAGGGTCCTTTTTATTTTACTGTAACTTTGGAAGTTGTGTTACCAACATAATAAAATATCTCTAAGTTACAAGGATGTAACCTTATTTTATCAACCTCAAACAGAAGCCGTTTGTTCAACAGTATTATCCCACTTAACGCTTAACACTTGTCTATTTCGTTTTAACCTTTATATACAGTCTATGATTTTAACTTGGAGGCTACGATTAGCATCGTTAGCACCGATGTAGCTACCACTAGCTTACATGCTAACCCAAGCCTTACCATTCATTACGTAGCTGATTAAAATCATTAACACATAAATAAAGCACTCAAATTTCACTTACCGCATTCATGCACCGTCTGTTTTAACCGCAGAGCGAGTCACAATAGTCCGATATATAAGCACGAAGAACAAACAACCACGGCCGGCTACAAGTTGTGTTTCCTGGATGAACTGAGCAGGCAGAGTCCCTGTAGCTAGCTTCACGGAGCAGGTAGCAGAGCTAGCAAGCTAGCAGTGGCAGTCACTTCACAGAGCCGTCACTCAATGTGACCACGCCCTAATTTATGCAAACACTTTAAGACCTAATATAAATAAAAGGGTCGCGTTAGAAAACAATTCACTCACAGATCCATAATCATGAAGGTGTAATCTAACTATATCGATAATAAAATGTATGGAGCCAGGGGTAGAAACATGTTTTTTTCTGCTGTAAAATTGGGCAT